TTCTTCTTCTTCTTCTTCTTCTTCTTCTTCTGATGCTGCAGCTGCTGCCGATTGTTGACACGATAAAATTAGAGTCAGGTGGCCAGGCATCTAAACGTGCATCGTAGTACCATCAGTCGACTTTAGTTAGCACCGGTTCCAAGACACGGGTTTAGCTGAAAACCGGCATCGCAGTTTACGACCCAGAGCGAAAACAGCAGCTGAGAATCGCTTTATTCGGCTTCGTCACCTCAGAGACAGGTTTACGACAGCTCCCTCAACTGCTCAGGCAGGCAGTCTGATCCAACTGTTCGGAACATACTGCATGACGTTGTAATTTCTGCACGACCACCACACCAAATACCAGTCCTTACGCGTCGCCACCGCCAAAATCGACCTCGTATACTCGGAGCATATGACAGACTCAGGGCATATGGTAGTCTCGGGCATATTATAGAATCGGTTCATATGATAGACTCGGGGCATATGATAGTCTCCGGCATATGATAGAATCGGTTCATACGAGAGACTAGGGGCACATGATTTATAGACTCGGGGAATATAACAGACTAGGGCAAACAATTTATAGACTTAGGGCATATGGTAGACTCGGGACATATGGTAGATTAGGGGCTTATGATGTATAAACTCGGGACATAGGATAGACCAGGGGCATATGATTTATAGACTCGGGGTATGTGGTAGACTAGGGGCATATGATTTTTTGACTCGGACATATGATTTATAGACTTAAGGCATATAAAAGACTAGGCACAAATGATTTATAGACTCGGGGCATATGGTAGACTCGGGAAATATGGTAGTCTAGGGGCACATGATTTATATACTCGGGGCAAAATGAAATGCTCGGTGCATATAATTACCTCGGGGCACAAGATAGGGTCAGTGCATATGATAGACTCAGAGCAAATAGTAGACTCGGAGCATATGATAGACACGGGGCACATGACACACTCGGGGCATATGATTGACTCTAAGTATATAAAAGACTAGGAGCATATAATAGACTCAGGGCACACGATAGACTCGGAATATACGATTTATAGAGAAGGGGAATATGATAGACTCGGAGCATATGATAGACTCAGAGTACATGATTTATAGACTCAGAGCATATGATTTTTAGACTTGGAGCATATGATAGACTCGGGGAATATATTAGACGGAGCATATGATAGACTCGAGGCATATGGTATAATCGGAGCATATGATAGACTCGAGGCATATGGTATAATCGGAGCATATGATAGACTCGGGGAATATATTAGACGGAGCATATGATAGACTCGAGGTATATGGTATAATCGGAGCATATGGTAGACTCAGGGCACATGACAGACTTAGAGCAAATGATAGACTCAGAGCATAGGATTTATAGACTCGGGGCACATGATAGACTCGGAGTATGTAGTAGACTAAGAGCATATAATAGGCTTGGAACATATGATAGACTCGCGGCGCATGATAAACTCGGAGCATATGATAGACTTGTCTAAGTAGGCCACTTTTACTTCCCAAAATATATCCAGTATATATTTCAGGCTGGTCGGCCTGTGAAACAAAAGCGTTTTTAATTCCTCCTCTATGCCAGTTCAGAGTTCAGATCTTCAGACCGGCAGGCGAGCATCTAGCCACTACACTACAGAGGCTCCACATAATTAAATGGCATAGATATCATGTCTGTGGGGGCTGTGCAGGGCTGTGGGTGGGGAGCTGTGCGGGGTATAGTGGTGGTGCGGCTTTACGCTAGCCTGTGGATGTGAGGGTCCTGACGGAGTCAAACTTTTTTCTAAAACTGACCTTGGCTCCCTGTTCTAAACAGCTTTAAATGGTTACGAGGTTTAGTCCTGGGAAGTAAAGGTGGTCAGCGTGATGCTAATCACGTCATCCACGAAGTGCCGATTGGTATACTAAATATAGGTCTACGCCTATAAACCCAAAAGGTCTGAAAGAGGGAACAAGGGTCCTTTCAGATAATGTCTTTATACGCGATGTATTATAGAGTGTATGTTTATTGATCGTAGACCTTTTGAAATCAATTATTTGCGCACCGTGATTATGTACTACGTCAGGTTTCAATCGCCATGTGACCGTTAGTTTAGAATATCACTGCTATATACCGGTATTTTAGTAATTGATCTCAACTATAATAGTATTAATTATTTTAGAAAGAGTATTTCTGGTTGAGCATTTCTTCCTTAAAGGTGGCAGGTATTGGAATGTGGTTGTTCAACAATGACATTCGGCTGATACTTATGTGCCTCATTTAATACTGTAAGCAATTTAACCAGTAGAGTCGATTGTGAATAGAATTGCAATGCGGAAACCAGTACATCAAATAAGACGCACTATAGCAATACATGTTGCATTACCCTAAGTATAGTGGTAGACGGATATTGTTGTAACTCTCAGTGGACAACGTGATTGATAATATGGTGGTTGTCTTCATTGTCCGAGAAATGTCTTACAACCTATCCCATATAGCTAGTTTTTTTCTCTCCCTCTCTCTCTCTTTCTCGTTCTCTCCCTCTCTCACTTTCTCTCTCTTCCTCTCTCTCTCTCTCTCTCTCTCACTTTTTCTTTCTCTCTTCCCCTCACTTTCTCTCATTATCTATGTCCCTCCCTCTATCTAGAGGAGCGGCAGACGGAACAATTAGCAATGCTTTGTGCTATTGCAGGACACGCTGGGTCGAATTGTATCGTTGTCTGCATCTTGCTCTGTTGCTTTCAACTGTTCCCTCCAGGATAGCCGAAATATTTCATCTGTTTCTTTTTTCTTTTCAGCAGCTCTTTCTTTCTCTATTTCTCCACCCACCCTCTCTCCCTTTCTCTCTCTCTCTCTCTCTCCTCTCTCTCTCTCTCTCTTTCTCTCTCTCTCTCTCTCTCTCTCTCTCTCTCTCTCTCTATTCCAAATCTCTTCAGAGCATCTGTATTTGATTGTTTATTTACGGTATTTATTGCTGTTTCCATGCGAAGCAAGATGACGTCTGCTTAAAGAGTATCGATGTGGGAACTGTGGGACCAGGAGGCGGTAGCTAATGTCTGTTGGGCAGAGACACCGTGTGTTTCACAAGGTTTCAATCAGAGCAAAGGAGCGGTGAAAGGGGAGGGAAAGGTAAATTTCTGAATCAGTTGCCACAATTGTTCAACAAGTTGCCAGCAGTATCAGTAGGCGGCACAAGGCACTTGCAGATGTTAAGTCTTATATTCCACTGACGGAAGCACAAGACACTTGCAGATGTTGTGTCTGATATTCCACTGACAGAAGCACAAGACCTTGCAGATATTGAGTCTGATATTCCACTGACGGATGCACAAGACACTTGAAGATGTTAAGTTTGATATTCCACTGACGGTAAGAGAAGTGGTGCAAATAAGACTGGAGCTTATTTCAAAGGCTGATGAAGTTACGTGGTCAAGAGAAACCGTACAATTCTCCATACTCCAAAGGTACCGAAAGGGCAGTACGTAATAGAAAAGGCTGACCAAAGGCTTCAGAATTTTAAAGGCTTTCACATAGTGTTGCAGGGGGCGCCAGTGGCTCACTCAATATCCAGCGTGCCAACAGGCAAACAACACACGAGCTAACATTACTGATACTATAACTTTGTGAGTTGACTGATTCCTTGTTTACTATGACACTGATATAAATTATGTAATTAATGTTATATAATTTTCTGTAACAAACTCTGGAAAATGTCACAATTGTGTAATGTGCAGATTTTGACAATGCGTGTATTTTCAATAGGTTTATGTATCGCATGGTAGTAATGACTACGATTGTATTTCATTATGTCTTTCGACTTAGGTAGTCCTGGTGATGTCTCTGTGTATATTTTTACGAAGTGCTGTGGTGATGGTGGTGGCTGTGGTGAGGGCGGCGAGGGTATTCGTGTTGTTTTTATAATTGCTTCGGTGGTGATGGAGGCAGCGGTGGTAGTGGTGAGGGCAGCGGTGGTAGTGGTGAGGGCAGCGGTGGTAGTGGTGAGGGCGGCGGTGGTAGTGTTAAGGGCAGCGGTGGTAGTGGTGAGGGCAGCGGTGGTAGTGTTGAGGGCAGCGGTGGTAGTGTTGAGGGCAGCGGTGGTAGTGGTGAGGGCAGCGGTGGTAGTGGTGAGGGCAGCGGTGGTAGTGGTGAGGGCAGCGGTGGTAGTGGTGAGGGCAGCGGTGGTAGTGTTGAGGGCAGCGGTGGTATTGGTGAGGGCAGCGGTGGTAGTGGTGAGGGCAGCGGTGGTAGTGGTGAGGGCAGCGGTGGTAGTGGTGAGGGCAGCAGTGGTAGTGTTAAGAGCAGCGGTGGTAGTGTTGAGGGCAGCGGTGGTAGGGGTGAGGGCAGCGGTGGTAGTGGTGAGGGCAGCGGTGGTAGTGTTAAGGGCAGCGGTGGTAGTGGTGAGGGCGGCGGTGGTAGTGGTAAGGGCAGCGGTGGTAGTGGTGAGGGCAGCGGTGGTAGTGTTAAGGGCAGCGGTGGTAGTGGTGATGGCGGCGGTGGTAGTGGTAAGGGCAGCTATGGTAGTGGTGAGGGCAGCGGTGGTAGTTTTAAGGGCAGCGGTGGTAGTGGTGAGGGCAGCGGTGGTAGGGGTGAGGGCAGCGGTGGTAGTGGTGAGGGCAGCGGTGGTAGTGTTAAGGGCAGCGGTGGTAGTGGTGAGGGCGGCGGTGGTAGTGGTAAGGGCAGCGGTGGTAGTGGTGAGGGCAGCGGTGGTAGTGTTAAGGGCAGCGGTGGTAGTGGTGAGGGCAGCGGTGGTAGTGTTAAGGGCAGCGGTGGTAGTGGTGAGATCAGCAGTGGTAGTGGTGAGGGCAGCGGTGGTAGTGGTGAGGGCGTCAGTGGTATCGGTGAGGACAGCGGTGGTAGTGGTGAGGGCAGCGGTGGAGGTGTTGAGGGCAGCGGTGGAGGTGTTGAGGGCAGCGGTGGTAGTGTTGAGGGTAGCGGTGGTAGGGGTGAGGGCAGCGGTGGTAGTGGTGAGGGCATCAAAGATTTTTTTTTGCAATCGCTTATATGGTGTTGGTGATGGTCGTCTTGGTATTGGTGGTTGTTGAAATGGCAGTGGTGTTGGTGGCGGTCTTGGTAGTGGTGTAGGAGGTAGATGTAATGGTGGTGTTGCTGGTGGTAGTGGTGTTGGTGTTGTTGGTGTTGGTAGTGGTGTTGGTGTTGGTAGTGGTATTGGTGGTGGTGGTAATGGTGTTGATGGAGGTGTTGTTAGTTGTGTTGGTGGCGGTGTTGTTAGTGGTGCTGTTGGTGTTGGTGGAGTTGTTTGTGGGGGTGTTGGTGGTGCTAGTGATGGTGGTGGTAGTGGTGTTGGTGGTGGTGTTGGGGGCTATGTTGGTAGTGGCGGTGGTGGTGGTAGTGGTATTGGTGGTGATAGTAGTGGTGTTCTGGTGGTAGTGTTGGTAGTGGTGGTGGTGATGTTGATGGAAATACTGGTGATGGTGGTGCTGGTGATGGTGGTGTTGGTAGATTTAGTGGTGATGGTGAGGACAGCTAGTGTTTTCTAAGTGGCTCTACCTGGTGGTGGTGGTATTGGTAATGGTTTTGAAGTGATATCCAAAGCTAAGACAATACTTGCATTAGTCCTTCGAATGTTTTTCGCCCTAAACTCACTGTGACTAGGCCGATCATTCATGCTTCATCACCTTTCACACGCGCAAGTGAAAATTAAGTTACAGGAGAGTCACGTTGTGTTCTCTTTGACGCTATCATAGGCGATATCTCGTGTTCTATATTACACGATGTGACCGCTTTTAACGACCCCACAACATCTAGAACCGGCCCTAACCCCAACCCCCCTACCCCATAGCTCCAGTCTGCGTCAAACGAGCGAGTGCAGCCTACGTCCCGTGGTTTCACAATCATCATCATTTTGCGTCAAGCTCTAAAAAGCAGTCTTGCTGCAGAAAAGCAACGCTCTCTCTTTGTCGCCCCTCAACGCTCACAGCTGAAGTAAATTCATGTCCTACTTGAAGTCAAGCAGAGCTATAATAAACGCAATCTCGAGGGCCCCTTACACCAACAAGTACACGGCGCTCAATATACACTGCTCAGAAAATCGATCATAACGTCACACCCCTGTAACTTAAATTAGCGCCTGTGAAAGGTCACGAATCATGAATGAACGGCCAATCATAGTGTGTTTGGGGCCGAAAACGTTGCTTGTCTTCCTACAAGCGATGCTGCATCTCCTTTCATTTCGCTGCAGACCGCAATCAGTTTCCCCTGGTACAGAATCCTCACTGACCAAGTTCCAGTTTGCGCTACAGGTTTTAGTTTAGCTACAGAACCTTCCACAGCGGCACATAATCCGCAGTTCAAACCCCCCCCCCCCCCTTTACCACCACCCTCCACTCTTTAAAAAAAACTGAACTTTGACAGTGGACCCCAATGGGAGGTCGAACACGCAGACAAATAATCGACCATTTAATGTGAAGCTTGTTACCAAAGTAAAAAGAAAGTCACCGTGCCGTTCGCGGCTAGTCGCTTATCTGCGAATCAAAGTCTTGGGTTCGCGTTCTGACTTTTTTTTTTCCAAAGTGACCTTACTCCCAGGTCGACCCACCCTTAAATGGGTACCAGGTGCAGTCCTGCGAAGTAAAGGTGGCCGGCGTGGTACTCACCCCACCAAGATTGGTCTATTCAAACATAAGTCTAGCCCTATATTCCCAATACGCCTAAAGGCATGGAAAAGGAACTTTTACTTTACTTTTTACCACGGAAAAAAAGGAAGAATTATAGACAGCACTTCCCACAAAAGGAGTCACCTGAATAACGATAAATAAATACTCACATTGCCTTGTGTAAACAAACTGAAACAGCAAATAATGGTAGCCCATAAACTGATCTAAACTTACACTGTGACAAACGATCTTGTGCGGAAAGGCTCAGCCGGTATAAAAGAAAAAAAAAAGAAAAAAACTGTACACACTGATAAATCAGGACTGAGCGTTAGAGGCACCCTGTAGTGCAATGTTCTTCAAAATGTTTGCACAGGGAACCAGCAAATTGTAGAAATTGTTTCTCGGACCACAAGATGGCTATATGGAAGATGGGTACCAGATGGTTTACCGAAAGAACAGAAAAATAAAATATCAGTTATTTTATGGTATGGTATTTTATGGTATACTAGACATAAATTGCGAAGCTAGAAATTATGTACATAATTTATTTTTAGTGTACATAGAAAGAGTTTGTGGATTGCTATGTAGGACTTTGGAATACTACTAGCCCCCCCCCCCCCCCCCCCCCCCCCCCCCCCCCCAAATTAATAATAATGGCCAGGCTATGTTTGAAAGATATTTATAAATTAGTTTTTCCAAAGTAAATACTCAGCAGGCCCACACAATGTATTGAAGACACTTATACTACAGTAACATTAAAGGCAGAAAGTCAGATTCTTGTCAAGTTGTCTGTAGTCTGAACACTGTTAATGTGTATGACACAGAGAGCTCTTGTTAACAGTGAGTAGGGGGACTAGATGACAAGGGTAAATAACAGCTGTCAGGTATGTCCCTATATATATGGAGACTTTAACTCAGGTACGTCCTTATACATATATAGACTTTAAATGAGGTATGTCCCTATACATATGGAGACTTCAACTCAGGTATGTCCCTATACATGTGAAGACTTTAACTCAGATATGTCCCTATACACGTGAAGACTTTAACTCAGGTATGTCCCTACACATATGGAGACATTAACTCAGGAATGTCCCTATACAAATGGAGACTTCAACTCAGGTATGTCCCTATAATATGGAGACATTACCTCAGGTATGTCCCTATAGATATGGAGACTTTAACTCAGGTATGTTCGTATACATATAAACTGACTGGTTCTAGTTTCGTTTGGTTTGCTATCTTTTCGTGATATTAGCATATCCACTCGTTGCTGGCTACTGAGGAAGGAGACGGATCACTTGTGGGAATGTCTCGGCCGTATGAATGTCGGGTTTCGGTTCATTCATTCATTCATTCATTCATTCATTCATTCATTCATTCATTCATTCATTCATTCATTCATTCATTCATTCATTCAATCATTCATTGTACCCCAGTACCAGTAATTTGGAGTGAAAGACTGGGCAACCGTCACATCCTATTGAAGATAGTAAAATGAAGGACCCTTTTCCAGGCCTTTATGCGTATTATCCATATAAGGGCTAGACCTATATTTTATAGACTAGTCGGCACTTAGTGGGTGAAGTGGTCAGCATCACACCGGCCACCTTTACTTCCCGGGACGGTACCTAGTATCAACTCAGTGCTGGATTCACCTGGGAGCCAAAGTCATTTTTGAGGGGGGAAAATGACCGGCTTCGTCAGGTCCACAAGCCCACGGCCCTCCGATCGCAGACAAGCATTTAGCCACTATACCACGGCGGCCTCCACATACGATACTGTTTAGAAATGAGACGTGGTTCTTTGTGTCTGGTGTGCACATGACGCCCAGAAATGTAAATTATCTGGCAACTATTGAGTTCTTTGAAAATATCGCGAGAAAGAAACCGACCGGTGTGCACCGTCTCTGTTATTGGTAAATCAATACAATACAGCTAATGACACACACTATCAATACAGTATGTTATAACTGGTGTCACTGAAACTATTCCAAACAAACGAATATTTAGGGCATGCGCAGGAGTATCTGAAAAAAATCAAAAGATGAAGAAATCTAGAGCACACATGTTAAGTACATACTGAGCTTCGAGGTGTGTGTAATAGACGCGATGTAGAGCAGTGTTCTTCAACCTATTTACACAGTTAGCCAGCTTATTCTGCTTCTTCTGTTCTCTACTCCTGGAATGCCCAGCAGTGTCAGGACAGGAAGAAATCTCTGGAACAGGCCCTTCTGTTCGCTTCATTTACATTACTTTACTCATTACATTACATTACATTACATTACATTACTCCTCATGGCCTTGTATATGTAAAAGAACTTTCTTAACAGAATTGTCGGCTCCTGCTGCGTACCCCTTACGACAACCACTCACAGGAATGAAATGTTAATGATCGATAATATGAAAGATATATCTATTCTTTTAGTACTTCAATAAAATTGGTATTAAAACAAAATCTTTGGCTCTCCTCCGAACGGCGTCATAATTTTATGGCGGCCATAAAATATCCAAAAATATCCTTACGGGGCTCAGGCATATGTAAAATGCGGACTTTCTGCTGTTTACAAGAACATAACTAGTCCATCCGTGAATTCGAGCTACTATGGATCTGTAGAGGAAGTTGCCTTGGCGTAGCGGCTAGACCCTCGCGCGCTTATCTGAAGGTCATGGGTTGGCTTCCCTGGTGCAGTCCCGGAAAGTAAACGCGGCTGGCGTGATGCTGACCACATCACGCACCCAATTGGTCTATACAAATATCGGTCTAGCCCTACATGCCCTATACGCCTAAAGGCGTGGAAAAGGGACCTTTACTTTTGTTGTTGTTGTAATGAATCTCAAGAAATGGAAAGGCAGATGCGCTTAAGAAGACTACAGGAAACCTTATGTAGCCCCATCGGTCTCAGCAGCTTTAAAGCGTCAAAGACACTCTTAAGAACATGACGTTAAAAAAGAGAGAAGACCATACTAATTACAGACAAGTGCATTTTGTAAGGCGAAGAAAGAAATACTAGACAAAACAGAACTGCAGTTATTTCATTCTGTCTTTGCGTTTAAAGAAAGTATATTTCAGTGAAAGGAACAGACTCGGGAACTTGGTGAAAACAAAAAAGTTTTTTTGCAAAAGACACCAGAAAAGCAAAGCGATAAATACCCAAATGGCTTGACACTTTTGTGATGAGCGGCGGGGGGGGGGGGGGGGGCAAGAGCACCACCCGCTCCAAAGGTTTTGCTGATTGTGTAGGATGGCGAATGATGACCGCCTATAATTTTCGGCAAGGTACATAATGCTGATGATATCGCCAGCTTAAGCGTGGCGATGGCACAAACAAGTTTGGAAAACTCTGGTTTAGACCACATGTGCTTTGCGGATGCCATCGTTTTATTGCCTTCAATTCTGT